CCCACATATGCTAATTTGTAACATTGTTTTTTTCATGCCTTTCCACTCCTGTTTCCCCCGAACCCCTTTCTCCCTCCAGCCCTACATTAAATTTCTCCCATTTTTACATTTTACTGCCCTACCAGGACAGCATCTGCACTGGGGGTGATATCACAATTTGCCCAAGTTTTTTATTTTCCCATCTTTATAGAAAGCTGTCAGGTTTCCTATGAAGACCGTTTTGATGTTATCATCTTTTAATACCAACGTGATTTTTTTCCACAGTTGGATCTGACTTGGGCATACCCAAAAGCACTTCCCTGGTTTAATATCTCCTGTAGAGATTCCTGAATATCTGAAACAAGGGTGCATGGGCCCAGTTACTAAAGATGTTCAAGTAATCCATGCAGGAACAGTCTGATTGTTTGGTTGCAGACTATACAGGATTTCATAATGTGATTTCTTTGGGTTGGTTTTTCTGAATATTCTATTTAATAACCCCCTTTAAAGCGTATTTTGTATATGTATTGTTTGGGACAAGCTTACCACTAAATAGTTACTGTTTGGGTGTTTGAAAAAGGGCGCCTAAAATCCCATCAGTTTATGAATCAGGACAGGGGATACCTCATTTTTTTAATGAATCCATTTGAATCCATCATTGGTTCACTCTTTTCTTGGATGAATCCAGATGAATCCGACCAGTGGATCATTTATTTTTGAAGTATCCGGTCGGTGGTTTGGACTAGCTCATGAAAAGACTACTGGAAATTATTTAACAGATTAATATGTGTTCGGTTTGATACGAAAAGTGTAACTTGCATATTGGAGAAACTGATGACTTCGGGCAGCTACTACTATAATGAACGGCCGTACCTCTCCCCACCTTTTTATACACCTGGAGTTTTGGGCACCAAAAAATTTCCACCTCCACCACAACAAATGCTATTTTTCACTATGGTTGACTGGTGAAGATTACTGGAGGAGTATTTGCTTTTTGTTGTATATATTAAAACCGATGGTAACTACAAGTTTTAATGTATTTCCACAACTGTATACAGGTTTACACCATAGCTGCCTCAGACTTTATTTCTGTTTACTATTACTCTTTGTGTTTCCATTTTTTAGGAAGTTATAGATCCCCCTACCAACTTTTCCTGTTATTCCTTTATCACAACCCTTTTATGCACTGTTTACAAACCCTGGTCACACTTGTCAAAGTCTTTTGCAAAGTCTACTGCTTTTCCCGGGCCTTGTCATAGTGGTCTAGTAGCTGAGACAGGCAAAAAACGACCTCCTCTAAACCCTTGGTGCCCTTGTTGTATAATGATCGGTATCTAGTGGCTGGCAATCTTGCTTCTTGGAAACCCCCCAAAGAGTTTTTGATATGGATGTTAGTGCTTTACTGCCACCTTTGTAGAGTGGGGCTATGTCTGTTGTTTTTAGTGAGTGTGTGGATGACCCCCTGTATCCAAGCTCCCACTCCATAGATTGCTTAAGGCATGCTACAGTGGCTTCTTGTATTTTCTTTGATGAAATTGAGTTCTATGAGTCGGGGCCGGGGGCCCAGAGTGCATGAGAAATGTCATTTATGGCCTTTTCAAAGTCTTGAGGTGTTAGGATATCAGAGAGTTTTAGAGATGACAAATTTTGG